GCACTGAGCAGTGGGAGCTGCAGTTCTTACATTTCCATCTCTCTGTGTGAAATATCATAAAGAGAACATTTTTGCACTTTGTCCTCTTGAAACTCATTTATTGAGCAGTTGCAAAAAAGGAGAAGGTTTCAAAGATGCGGCCAGCTCAGAAGAACAAGAATGGACATCAGCAGCAAAACCTGCCTGAGGAAGAAAGCCCCAACAGGCCACTCAGCTGAAAACAAGTTTCCTTAGAAAATAAATCCATTTTTTTCTATAGAATTATTTCAGTAGAATAGAATCCCAAGTAAGTTGGGTAAGCAAAATAGTTGACAGCAAAATGGCTGATGGGGGGGAAAATGATTCATTTGAAATGTGGTGCTTGAGGAGAGCTTTGCAGGTACCCTGGACTGCCAGAGAGACGAACACATGGGTCCTAGATCAAATCAAACTGAACCATCTTTATGAGAAGGCAGGTTTCACTGGAAAAGACAATAATGCCGGGAAAGGTGGAAAGCAGCAGTAAAAGAAGAAGACCAAATATGAAATTGATTGACTCCCTAAAGAAAGCCACAGGCTTGAGTCCGCAGTAGCTAAGCAGGACAGGACATTTTTGGAGATCACTCATTTGTAGGGTCACCCTGAGTCAAAGGCAACTTGACAGCATGCAACAACAAAGTTGAGTAAGACTTTAGCTTTGGATATGTTCTTGTTAAACAGCCTTCTCCACCTCATTTCTGAAGAACTTTATTGCCAAAATGTTCATGTAGTCAATTATCTAGAATTGCATTGTCCATGTTAATAATGCTATTCTTATTTTGGATGCTCATTAGACGCTAGCTGGCTTGGCTGGATTCTGGCCAAGTGGACAAAATGGCAACCCTCCTCTTAACAAGACGGAGAAATAATTTGACCTGCATTTATGACTATATCCATGACTATATAGAGGGGAAAGGCAGATGAAGTTGTACTATTAAAAGCTCTGGTCATTACTGTTGATTGGACTGCTTAGGATGAAAGTGAGAAATTGCTTTTTTTAAAAAAAAAAAACTGGGTTCATAGGGTCCCCTCTTATGCTACCCTTATTTTAGAAAATAAGTGTTATCACTAGGTATGGCCATGCAGATCTTCGTGGTTAAATTGCTAGAGAAAGAAAGTATAGGTTTTCAATTAGAGTTCCAAACCATTATGAAAAATAATCAGCACATTTCAGATATTTATACAAGAAACAGAAAGTGGAGTTGGAATTCCAATCCGGAGTATAAATCTTTTCCCCTTTGTCCAGCCTTAATCATAAAGCAGGTTACTTTTGTTTCTGAATTATCTTTAAAAGCCACTATTTCTCCCCTCTCACTTTAAAACTCAAATAATAAGAGACTCACACAATTTGTTTGTAAGCATAATTTTATTTTTCTTCCCATTTAGTTGACTTTTACTCATGAAAAATAGTTTCAGTTATAAGTGCAGTCAACATTCATAATATTCTGTATGGAAATGCAACATAAATAACCAGCCACATCTGACTTCCAAGTCTACTGCATCAAAGATCAAGGAGAAAAGTCAAGCTGTGTGCAAACCATGTCTAGAAATTAGGTCTGGGCACCCTGACACTTGGATTGGCTTTTATAATGGACCTGCTCCACTTTGGAAGAACAAATTATCCTTCAGATGCCCACAAAATATCCTTCAAATGTTGGTTTTGAATGCATGGTAGCTATCTCTCTCAGATTAGCCAAATCTGCTTCTTCCAGCCAAAAATACCATCTGCCTCCCTAGTCCTGTAATGCAAATTTTATAAATTTGATACTTTTTTGCGAACAGTATATCACAACTGTACAGGCTGCAGGACAAGAATGAACATCACACACAACAGAAGCTTAGGAGGAAAATGCCCAGAAGGCCTGGGACAGCAGATCAAGTCTTTTTTACAATGTTTGAGGACTACTACTATAAATTAGATGTCTTTTTCTTGCAGCCAGGGCCCAAGCATGGGGAGGGGACAGCAGACTTTGAAAGGAAAAGAGCAATACATTCACCACCTTCACAACAAGTTACTTTTTTTCCTAATGAAGCTACAGTTCAAAAGAAAGAAGCTGACAGAGTTGCAGTATTACTAGGATGCACCAGGTGGCGCTAACCAAAAGAACTTCCCTGAGAGATGAAGCCAAACACTAAAGCAGTGTTGATAGCAGAATAGTTGTATTATTTACAGAATATATACATACAAGTAC